CCCCGCCCCCTGGAACACGGACGGGAAACCCGCAGCTTGGAAAGAGGCCGGTTCCTTAGGGCGGAAAATGGGGATGCCGTGTTTCCCCCCATCCTGTTTTCTTCCACGGAGGCGGCTCCCAGTCTTTGCAGCCGTGACAGGCGCCGGGAACAAAAACGCCCTTGGTCCAGGCCTTGGCGGCCTGAGCGGCCTTCCCGTCTGCTCCCCGAGCCCGGGAAGGTCAGCAAAGGCCCGCTCGCCGGGCAGGAGAAAATCGCAAGGCGCCTGAGGGCGCCAGGGTGTGACGGCGTGATTCTGGATGAAAGTATACACGTGTGTACACTCACACGCATGCACACACGCATGCACACACGCATGCACACGCAAGGCTGGGTGACCTAGAAAAATGGGTGACAAATGGGTCTCGCTGATCATCAATGTCAAGGGGGAGGGGAAAACAGAAACGGAAGCGGAGACGGTGGAAGAACGCCGGGAACACACGGCACAAAGGTCGGACCAGATTCTGCCCCCAGCGTGGAACTTGTTGCTGTTCTTCTGGGGAAAATACAAGCGCTCACCCCTTGCCCCCTCAGCTCTACCCAGGTTACTGTCAGTCAGCTTGGGGGGGCCTCGTCACCACGGGAAGTTTTAATAAGAGAAACGGGCACCCGGACCACAGACGGGTCTGTCGCTAACACTCAGCAGGGAGTGTGACCCGGGGGGCGAGGACGGGAGCCGGGGCTGCGATCGGGCTGGGACGGCCTCAGGGGGCGAGGATGGGAACCGGGGGGCTGCGATCGGGCTGGGACGGCCTCAGGGGGCGAGGATGGGAACCGGGGGGCTGCGATCGGGCTGGGACGGCCTCAGGGGGCGAGGATGGGAACCGGGGGGCTGCGATCGGGCTGGGACGGCCTCAGGGGGCGAGGATGGGAACCGGGGGGCTGCGATCGGGCTGGGACGGCCTCAGGGGGCGAGGATGGGAACCGGGGGGCTGCGATCGGGCTGGGACGGCCTCAGGGGGCGAGGATGGGAACCGGGGGGCTGCGATCGGGCTGGGACGGCCTCAGGGGGCGAGGATGGGAACCGGGGGGCTGCGATCGGGCTGGGACGGCCTCAGGGGGCGAGGATGGGAACCGGGGGGCTGCGATCGGGCTGGGACGGCCTCAGGGGGCGAGGATGGGAACCGGGGGGCTGCGATCGGGCTGGGACGGCCTCAGGGGGCGAGGATGGGAACCGGGGGGCTGCGATCGGGCTGGGACGGCCTCAGGGGGCGAGGATGGGAACCGGGGGGCTGCGATCGGGCTGGGACGGCCTCAGGGGGCGAGGATGGGAACCGGGGGGCTGCGATCGGGCTGGGACGGCCTCAGGGGGCGAGGATGGGAACCGGGGGGCTGCGATCGGGCTGGGACGGCCTCAGGGGGCGAGGATGGGAACCGGGGGGCTGCGATCGGGCTGGGACGGCCTCAGGGGGCGAGGATGGGAACCGGGGGGCTGCGATCGGGCTGGGACGGCCTCAGGGGGCGAGGATGGGAACCGGGGGGCTGCGATCGGGCTGGGACGGCCTCAGGGGGCGAGGATGGGAACCGGGGGGCTGCGATCGGGCTGGGACGGCCTCAGGGGGCGAGGATGGGAACCGGGGGGCTGCGATCGGGCTGGGACGGCCTCAGGGGGCGAGGATGGGAACCGGGGGGCTGCGATCGGGCTGGGACGGCCTCAGGGGGCGAGGATGGGAACCGGGGGGCTGCGATCGGGCTGGGACGGCCTCAGGGGGCGAGGATGGGAACCGGGGGGCTGCGATCGGGCTGGGACGGCCTCAGGGGGCGAGGATGGGAACCGGGGGGCTGCGATCGGGCTGGGACGGCCTCAGGGGGCGAGGATGGGAACCGGGGGGCTGCGATCGGGCTGGGACGGCCTCAGGGGGCGAGGATGGGAACCGGGGGGCTGCGATCGGGCTGGGACGGCCTCAGGGGGCGAGGATGGGAACCGGGGGGCTGCGATCGGGCTGGGACGGCCTCAGGGGGCGAGGATGGGAACCGGGGGGCTGCGATCGGGCTGGGACGGCCTCAGGGGGCGAGGATGGGAACCGGGGGGCTGCGATCGGGCTGGGACGGCCTCAGGGGGCGAGGATGGGAACCGGGGGGCTGCGATCGGGCTGGGACGGCCTCAGGGGGCGAGGATGGGAACCGGGGGGCTGCGATCGGGCTGGGACGGCCTCAGGGGGCGAGGATGGGAACCGGGGGGCTGCGATCGGGCTGGGACGGCCTCAGGGGGCGAGGATGGGAACCGGGGGGCTGCGATCGGGCTGGGACGGCCTCAGGGGGCGAGGATGGGAACCGGGGGGCTGCGATCGGGCTGGGACGGCCTCAGGGGGCGAGGATGGGAACCGGGGGGCTGCGATCGGGCTGGGACGGCCTCAGGGGGCGAGGATGGGAACCGGGGGGCTGCGATCGGGCTGGGACGGCCTCAGGGGGCGAGGATGGGAACCGGGGGGCTGCGATCGGGCTGGGACGGCCTCAGGGGGCGAGGATGGGAACCGGGGGGCTGCGATCGGGCTGGGACGGCCTCAGGGGGCGAGGATGGGAACCGGGGGGCTGCGATCGGGCTGGGACGGCCTCAGGGGGCGAGGATGGGAACCGGGGGGCTGCGATCGGGCTGGGACGGCCTCAGGGGGCGAGGATGGGAACCGGGGGGCTGCGATCGGGCTGGGACGGCCTCAGGGGGCGAGGATGGGAACCGGGGGGCTGCGATCGGGCTGGGACGGCCTCAGGGGGCGAGGATGGGAACCGGGGGGCTGCGATCGGGCTGGGACGGCCTCAGGGGGCGAGGATGGGAACCGGGGGGCTGCGATCGGGCTGGGACGGCCTCAGGGGGCGAGGATGGGAACCGGGGGGCTGCGATCGGGCTGGGACGGCCTCAGGGGGCGAGGATGGGAACCGGGGGGCTGCGATCGGGCTGGGACGGCCTCAGGGGGCGAGGATGGGAACCGGGGGGCTGCGATCGGGCTGGGACGGCCTCAGGGGGCGAGGATGGGAACCGGGGGGCTGCGATCGGGCTGGGACGGCCTCAGGGGGCGAGGATGGGAACCGGGGGGCTGCGATCGGGCTGGGACGGCCTCAGGGGGCGAGGATGGGAACCGGGGGGCTGCGATNGGGCTGGGACGGCCTCGGGGGGCGAGGACGGGAGCGGGGGCTGCGATCGGGCTGGGACGGCCTCGGGGGGGCGAGGACGGGAGCCGGGGGGCTGGGATTGGGCTGGGACGGCCTCGTCCCCCGGCTGGTAATAAGCAGCGACTCAGCGAAGGAAAACTGTCTCCGAGCTACGTCCACACCCATGGCCAACGGCGTCAGGACCAGGGACTCGGACGAAAGCTTCTGAGGAGCCCGGAGCCCGGAGGGGGAAGGCGAAGGCTGGGACAGGAGGCTGGGAGCGGGGTCGGGGGCCAGTAAGTCCTCACACACAGGGGGCCTCTTTCCGCACGGCGGTGTGACCCCGAGTTAGAAATTGAGACAAAAATTAGCCTTGAGTCTCCCTACGTTATTCATAGGGTTCAGTGTCCGTGGCTGTGGGCCTGTGACGCGTCTACAGCGTGTGGCGGCCGGCGTGTAACCGCACGTATGTGCCAGATAGACGTCGCCGAATGGCTGCCGCTGTTGCGGGAGCAGAAGAGCTGCTGCGTCACACATTTAGCTAAATCCTCACGCGTTAAACGCACGTGCGAGACGATCCACTCTTGCAATACCCGGGGGCACAAAAGGAAGATGTGACACCCCATCTGGCCGCTGGGCCCAGAGCAGGCGGATGGCTGCTGACGCGGGGAATTCATAAAACGCATCCGATTTTGCTCCAGCTAAAGCGCAAGCAGGGCACAGACGAGTGTAACCAGGCCCCGCACGTGGCACCCAGGCTTGGAGCCCCCGGGCGAAAACCACCAGCACTTCAAAGGCCGTCATTCACAGAAAGACAGATATTATATGATTCTGGATCCACCGATGGATGGACGGACAGAAGGAACGAAGCGTGAGAGATACGGGCCTCCCGTTCAAGTAAACTGATAACATGAATCCACTTCCCTTCCTCCCAAAACGTCATTAATTTCATCGTGGAAATATAAACGCAAGTAGTTTTATAGCAGCGGAGGTAACAGGAGGGGAAATTCATCGGC